TCGTACTCCGACGACTCGTTACGCTGACTGTGAACTATTATCGTCACGATTGAAACGTACACTTTCTTTTGCGAAGTTTACACCTAATTACTAATTACTTGCCACTTTTTTCGAGAAAAAGTAATCTTAAATAACAACGTAATTTATGATTCTTCTTTCTTTCTTGTACAGACATAGGTCGTCACCAAAAAATGGAAAAAATGTTTCAATTGTAATGGACATTAATCTCTTACAAAAGTCTATGTAAGAGCCGGTAAAAATTGTTTGTGAGTTATCGAATTAGTCTGGAAGAATTAGTGTGAAATAGGAATGCGTAGATTCTCTCTCTCTCTCTCTCTCTCTCTCTCTCTCTCTCTCTCTCTCTGTCGATGATTTATCGAGTCATAGAAAGTTGGTTTCACTCCTATATGGAATTGTTTCGAGACGTATACATTCAATGCTAATTTCCACGTAAAACGGGAATTTCGAATAAGAATGTATGATAAAATAGAAAGACCCAATAATAATGTATTTAAAAATACCTTTCTAAGAGCCTAGTACAAAAAAACAGTCAGTCACGAAGAAGAAAAATGAGGAAAGAGATAATTATGGGTTTCGTACTGAAGGCAGGGTAAATAGTTACCGTAAATTATTCCTCAAGCTCGGCGCGACAAAATATCCAAGAATGATATGCGCTGACACACTTTTGTGCGCCGAGGTACAGAGTAGATGCTTATTATTTGTTTGCGAGAGCGAGCACGGAAAACACGTCTTCTTATTCTTCTTCTTGAAGTGAAAAAGTGGTTTGCATTCGTCGAGCGAGATAGTGAATAATGAACGTTGAACATATTTGACCGTAGGCGAGGATGTGTTGGGAAGATAACTACTTTTTTCTTTTTCATGCTTAATTGGGTGTTTGTAACAGATGGTAGCTGGTTTAATTTGGAAGGCGTATCGGGATAAATGGGGGTGATTTGGAAAAAAATATCGAGTCGTACAGTATTTATAGTTCCTATTTTTCATGTATTGGGAATCATTAAATTTAATTGATCGGCATCATATTTGTTTCATTAAAAACAATGTATTATCGCGAACGACTCTCGCAAAGAAATAACGGTACAAATTTTCTATTTTTACATTGGACGTCTTCTCATATCCAAAAAGTGCCAAGCCTCGGCACATCGAATCAAAAATAACGAGCCCGCCAAGAAGAAAGAGAAGGAAAGGGAAAGTTAGCAGCACTCAAGTACTCGAGGCGCGATTGCACTGGGCTGAAAAGCACAGTGCACTTGTTATCTCAGGCCACAACAGCCTGATGGCCACATGTGTGTGTGTGTGTGTGTGTGTGTGTACGCGCGCGCGCCTCTTCCGAACGGCGCGCAGCGTATATCGTCGCACGTACGCACGTGCTTCGCGTTGCAGCGAGTTTGTGTATGCCGCGAGCGTCTGTTGCGTTTGGCTTGGCCACGATTGTTTGGACGCTGCCGATAAGTGGCTTCGCCGAAATTATTATTTCCTCGCTTTTTTGTTTGTTTCAAAATCCGGAAGTCCTTTTTTTTCTTTTTTTTTCTTGACCCGGAACTTCGTGTAGTCTTATCTGGATTAACTTTATCTGCGGTAATATTAGGGTTCTTTCATGTTATACCTATGAACGTCATGCTATTTAGTTTATTAGATGTTTGATAAGCACAGCAGCACATGTGTTGTAAAAGTGGTCATAGCGATAAAATAGCCTGGAAAAGTTTTATTTACTATCGCAGGTGGGAGCTTCGTGGGAAAGCTTTTTCGATATGAATTTTCTGAGAAGGTTTATAAAAAGCTCACTGGCTCGTATTAACGTTTGATATGAATAACATGTTAATGATGATATAGATTAATTATTAAAATAGCAACAGTCATTAACATCGGGTTGATAGGTATATCTAAGGAAAGGCGTTTATTCTTTTACGCAAATTGGTTTTCCAGCAAACAATTAGTCTCGTCAGCATAACCATCTGCCGCGACAATCGAAACTCGGCTAACAGAGGAAAACAAATCTCTCGTTTCTACAAACAGCGACGGGGCACGTCGAAAATTCGCCACTCTCACTTACACTCTTGGATGTCATGGCGTAGTTCTTGGCTAACTTTCATTGTCAAACGATACATGTATACGTATGTCACCCTCGCTTTCTCCTTATCCGTTCCTCCTCCTCACTTTCATTTCCTCTGGTTATCTTTGTGTCATTTACCTTGAAATTTGACGATTTTCTTCGATTGTCTAGTGTTTTATTGTAGTTTACGAGGGCTGGGAAGGGCAAGGTCAGTCAAAGCGATTACGGACTATTGTTCATTTTTATTCAAACCATATTCCAGGCACTATGATATTATCTAAAAGTTTTTTACGTCGTGCGCGCGCGCGCGGTCTGCTTGTCGCGATCATTCGCTCTAATTTCATTAGAAAAATAGCGCAAAAAGCTTTTCTCAGGCTTCGAAGCATATTTAAGACGCTTAATAATATGTGATTTCTTTTACGCGCATTCCTGGGGATCGGACTAAGCGTGCCATTTTAACGAGCGCGCGAGTAGAACGGTTCGCCTATTTTTTCATTCTTCTGAAAACCAAGGGCGCTGAGTCTCACGGGACTAGCTTTTGCAGCCAAGTCAGTTAGGCGACAGTCATTGTCCAGTTAGCACTTTTGCGAGTCTCACAACTCAGGCGTAGTCTTTTATGTGAGGAAAGGCGAGCGATATTGAAAATTTCTTGAAATTTCGATTACAAAGCATTGTTTTGCGTAAATTTTAATATCGGATGTGATTAGTTCAACGTATAGTAAGAAATGGCATTGACCAAGGCTTATCTGCTTCCAAATCTGGTCATTATTACTTTATACGTCGTCGCTGGTTGGTATATTTATTAAGGGTTTTAATTATTAAGTCGATTGAACTTAAAATTATTTATTTTTCTTATTGACATTACCATGAAAGATATTTAATAGGAAATTCACTTAGTCACGTTGATACCCGGTATGGGTTCACATTTTTAGATGCCGGACCGCAATTCAATTTCGATAATGTTTTAATTGCACCGCGGGTGAATGTGACATGCCATGGCTATTGGCATACTTACTGCTCCATTATTACTACTTCAACAACAAATGCTCCCCCGAACGCTACAATGAATGCACCTACAAATCCAACCACCATTCCAGCGATCACTCCTGCGGGCGCTGGTTCAATGATGGCTGCAATCGTGAGAAGCACTGCACGTGCAACCACGAGTACCAATGTAAGAGCGACCGCGAGTACCACTGCAAGAGTAGCTGTGAGTTCCGTTACAGGAGCAAGTATGAGTATCGCTGCCAGACTGACCACGAGTACAACTCTAAGAGCAACAACGAGTACCCCCGCGACTGTAACTCAGATGTAAATTTTCATGAACGGAAAGGTCTGCCTAAAGACTATTACAAAATTTTTGTTTAAAAATAAATAATTGTAAATAACCCATCATATCAAATTGTTCAATTTCAACATTTAATGGTATATTTTTTAATAAATACCTATTTCTCAGTATTTTTTATCGTGACCCATGCGAAACTTATTCTTAACTTGTAGGAAGTGTTAAGACAAACTAGTGAAATTTATCAAGTTGATAAATAAAATAACAATGATTTTTATTGCTAAGCATATAAAATTAAATCAATGAGCTATCGTGTAATAGCACACGGAAAGTAAAAATTTATCCAAGTCGCACTTTATGATTATTTGTTTTCGCACACAACTTGTAACAATAAACAAATGATGATAATTCTTTTCGTGATGTTAAATTTGGCAGCTTCGGAAGGTAAGAAAATATTTTTATGTATTTTTACCGTACAAAGCTCTAAGAATACTTCGACGTATATTTTGTTCAAATTTGAAAACGTGCAAGGTACAAACTGTCGGACACTCCTTTGATTTATACTCTCGAAATTGCAGGAAGCATTATCGACTCGTCGTCGGTACCAGCATCCACCTGCCTAAGCACTCCTACCATTTCCTTCTATAATATGTTATTGAATTACAATCAATTTGAAATTGCCCTAACAGAGAATGCGATAATTTCTGTGGTGAATATAGTAGTTAGCATACAATAGCGGGTAGAATCGTAAATTGGAAGGTGAAATGTGAATGCCGGAGGTGGTACCGACAGCTAAGAATATCGATGATCAAGGCAAATTGTATATATTGATTAAGATAAAATGGTGTAAGCAAAGAAAGCATCCCATTAATGGCAATTCACATGACAATTTATTCGAGTTTACGTGTGAACAGTCATATGAAAGGGCTGCTCACATAAGTTTTGAATAAGCCGTGTATCTGCGGTAATGTGCTTAGTAAATTAGGCACAGTGGGCTTGCAATTTTCACGTTTCACAAGCTTTGATAAATGAGATCAGCGAAGTAAACGTATAAAAAAACTGACAACGAAAGCCGAATTAGCGTAGAAACGTATAAAAAAAATCTCAAAGGTATCGACGATAATTCGCGTGACTCTATTTTAACTGGCAGCGCGCGCAGCCGACTTTCCTCACTTTACAAACCACAATAAACCTTCGGTTTATACTACTCGTGGTTTTAATTGCCTTCGTACTCCTACTACCTCTGCACACCTATATGCAGTGAGAGCGAGCGAACGAGAGAGAGAGAGAGAGAGAGAGAGAGAGAGAGAGAGAGAGAGAGAGAGAGAGAAATCCCCTCTGATCGTCGTTTTAACGTTGAGTCAGTGTGTAGTGCGCGCACGCGTCGTCGACGACGAGAAAAGTAAAGAGAGCGATCCATTGCACGCTGCCGTCGAGACTTCCTCAAACGAGCGTCGCTTGGCTGGCTGCTCGGACGCTTTCTTTTTTCTTTTGCGTGCGCGTGCGAATGTCATTGTTGACGTCGCCGTGGAAAATTCTATTTGGATAATAGATCAAAAGTCAGACGCGATTGCACCATGAATCGCGTAAAGCTTCGACGCACGTGTTAATTAGCGCAACGGTAAATCTATCGGCAGTTTGCCATTTGCGAGGTGATTATGCAGTAATTTTCGCATCGGAAGAATACGCTCGCGCCCAAGAACAACAGTGCGCGATTTTCATTCGAGTGTAACCGAGAGGAGCTTCGGCAATCGGCCTTGCCGCAGACACAAGTGATAATGTGTAGGATTTAGCAGGAGATTGCAGCGCGGAGGTGAATTATTGTCTCAAGGTTCACGTGCATAGAACACGATGCTCCATCCGGCTACTGTCGACAAATTGTGGTAATTCGTTGACATAGTTGATTTTTAGATCTTCTGAATATCATGGCTTTTTGTTTTGATCGTCTTTGAGATAAGCGCGATGATGATTAAGCGCGAAATGTCTTTTCTTAATAAGCTTCACTGATAAGTAGCAAAAAAAGCAATCGAAACATTATGAATGAAGTGTGAAATAAAGAATTTTTCGTAATGACAATTACGCTCAAATGAGTCACGTTTTCACGCGAAAAAAGTAATGAATATTATCCAAGCAAACACTTGTTCGAATGAATAGACGCACTAACCTGGTTTGAACGCGCGGTGCAGTGGTCATTTTTTAGATTGCGATAAGACGCTAAAGCCTTTTCTTCTCTCTCTCTCTTTGTCTCGCAAGCGACTTATTACTTCGCGGTTAGATGAATAATCTTGATGGATTGTTTACTACTCGAGTCAGGAAAAGCAGCGTATAACTTCATTACGAGCCGCTTGGCGTTAAAAGGCAAAGTGCAGTGGAATGCGTTTACAAACGCACGCCGGTTTGCCTTCTTCGTGTTTCCCAGATCCCGTGATAAAACGCGCGACTGACGGTAAAAAAAAAAGACAGGAGTGCTTTTTTTCCTGGATTCTTTGTCTTTGGCTGACTCAGCGTCACAATTTTCTATTCAGCGTGTGGGTTTATGCAAAACTTAATGCGAATTCTCCGTCACTTTAGAATTTCGCTCGACACTTATCAGTTTTAAATCTCGAGAAGAAGTGGAGGAGGGCACGCGTGCAATTTGTTAGGATTATGAGTGTGGGTCATAGATATCTAGCTACTGTTGAGGTCACTTGTCATCAGGCACATCGTAGGTATGTTATCGTATTTTTCGAGGATTAGTTGTGTCGCTTTTTTTTTATTGCATTGAAGGGACAATTATTACTTAGTACAAGATTCGATAACAATCTGTGAATTCCTTATAATGCTAATACGAAAATCTTTGTCATTCAATTACATTATAGCGAAAGCGTACATGCCCGCGCATGAACGTTATTTTTGACAGTCATATATTTGGACTAAACGACCTCAAAACCTCAAAAGAAAAAAAATTCTTGAAAGAAAGTATCTATCTTGAATATTTTCCATTCGCTTAAAAAATATATTATAATTACGTAGCGACAATGACGATTTAAGGCAATCAGCTAGGACAATTTTTCGAGCAAAGCAGATCAGAGAATTGGACTGAAATTCAACGTTTGTTTACAAAGAAAAGATAGACAAGCCTGATTCTTATAACACGTGTTTCGTCAAAGCTCCCTCTCTCTCTCTCTCTCTCCCGTCGCAGACAGGTTTAGATTTAGACTCATACCGTGTCAAACGCTCGTTCTACTCTTTCTCTTTCTCTTACGCAATAAAAATCTTTAACTGACAAATCTGCAGTCCTTATTGGTCTTAATAGTTGAAATAGGGTTTACTGAAGCTGGCAGGGCATTCGGCAAATCGATTAAACAGCTTTTGATTCTGATATTTCCCATGAACATTGATTAAAAAACAAAATCTGTCAGAGTCAACCTTGAACTCGTCACCGCGCAGGGCATGTACCAAATTGAAGAAGTATAATAAAGAAAGCTTCACTCTTCTATTACATCCATCGCCGGCCCAAATTAATGTTCTCCTTTTCAATAATCAGTCATGGGTCTACCGACATGCAAAGTGTCATCGCTCGAATTCACCCGCGTTGAAAAGAAAATCCAACCAAGCACGAAACTTTCCCCTTTCTCCTTCGTCAAGGTTTCCTCTGATGTTTGTTCAACGCGCCGCTCCCTAAAAATGTACACGCTGACGGTGCGTCAAACGATATAACGATATTACCTCTCGTGCACACGCAATTAGTGTTCACCACGTGTAACGTACGCCCGTGATGGCAAAGAAAAAAGACTGTCGAGAGGTTAGCGTGACTGTGCTTGCGTGAAAATTTTCGGGATCCGGCGACGTAGTGCTTTGAGGTTTATGTACTTGTTTGATGACTGAATTAAAAGACTTTTCAGAGTATTTGGCACATGAGTTATAGTGAAAAGATCAAGTTATGTGAACATTTTTTTTGTATCTCGACTGAAAAAAAAGGAAACGAGAAAAAAAAAATTAATGGTTAACAAATAGTCCACGCTGTGCATCAACTGTACATCATATTATTTGATAACGTTAAAAATTTTATTGAAGCTTCATCTATGGCAGATGTAATGATCACACTTCCATACATTTTATTATGAAGACAGTTAACGTTCCTATAAATCACAAAATCGAGCCGAGCGATTATATTCTTTGTATTAAACTTCTTAAATCTTTATTCCGGAAGCTCGTGTTCGTTCTCTGGTTGGATTAGCGGCGCATTATTTTTATAGCTGCCCCACCCCCTGTAAATGCGTCAGCTCGCATGAGAGATCGGCGAAGTTGGCTACAATCCCGCTTGCCATGTCACTTTCTTGAAAAATCACAGTACACCCAGAACAGAGCAGCTCTTTGTATATTTGCAAGCCAAGTTATTCGAGCATTAGTTACAAAGTCCCATTTTCGATACGTTCGAACAAAATTGTGAAAGATTGTTTTATGGTTAATAGTGCGGTTCTTGGAAATTCGAGTTAAGCGTGGTCAGGCATTGGTAACGTAAGGATTAATTTAAAGAAAGAAAACTACTCTAGTTTTTTGTATTTTATTTGCTATTCAAAATTATTATCAATTAAAATTAAGAATTAATAAGAGAAGGCAATTATAATATTAATTAAAAAGTCTTTTTAGTTTTCATAACCATAGCTAACTGCATTATAATTCAACGCAGTAATAAACGTCATATCGAACACATATCGATCGGTTATTACAAAAATTATTTCATATAATCGACTAAATTTATTTGCGCATATTCATTTATTTTTAAAACATTTTATTATCCTTTTGTTTTCTCTCTACTGATTTACATAACCAACATTCAAGTATATATTCAAAGCTTGAAACATAATCACTCTTTCGCAAGAGTCAGATAAAGTACTTTCGCGCAATTTTTTACATGTCTTGCATGCAGTATAATATCGATCATATGTGTAGATATCGTATCAGTTATCACTGAATCAACCGCACTGCACAATGTTAGTAAAGCAATAACAGATTTACGTGCCATTGCCAGAATAATATGAGTATTACGATTATAGTATATCTTTCTTTAAAGATTTCATTTTGTTTAAATGCACCTCACTACCGATATCTCTAGAATGAACAATTTTTTCTGCAATACGAATTTGACATGATTTAACAATGAACACTACGTCGTTTTTGCTCTACGTCTTTATTGAACATAGTAAATGAGTATATGATGAGCGATAGTATAAAATAATCCCATTAACTTTTGCAATTAATATAAAGTTTTTATTGTATGGCAAGACTGTTATAATTAGTTAAAATTCAATTTATTTCAAATATGATGTTTCTTTTTCAATTAACTGAAGCATTATTTATGAAGTAGAAAAGGTTTCGACCCCATACACTAAACGTTATTCAATTTTACTTAATTTTGTTATCTTTTACCGTATAAAAATTCAGAAAATATTTATATACTTACATTTAGTCTAACTTTCGTAAAATACACTGAAGTATCGAAAAATACAATGGTTTCCTGCATGAAGCTATCGTTAGGCTTCATGGCTTTTGGTTTGTGTTATTGATGATTAGTTCGGACAATATTTTTTTTCTAGTATGTGTGATTTTCTTTGTGATTTATCCTTTGCAATTGTTCAAATTACGTTCAAGTCAGGTTTAATCTTGATTTTATGCTTAGTTCCTCGATACAATTCCAACGATGATTGGACAGTTGAAAGTTAATAAATTTTGGTATAATTTGATAACAATTTTGTAGTGCATACTTCTGGAAGGCATTCTTAGTCAATTTCGTTTGTGCAATTATTTTCTTTCTGCGAAATTAATTATTTTTGCAGAAGTGGAAAATTAATACGGTAGAGAACGATCGAAACAATACGTAAGACGATTTAAGCTTCATGGTAGTATTTTTAAACTCGACGTTATAGCGATTTCAAATAAATCAGTTAATTACGGGAAATTGCGATATTTGCAATTGAGATGTATTCTCTTTACGAAATAAAATAATGAGTAATCTGGGCAAACCTCGATGAATAGCTAAATGAAGAGTTGAATGTTTTTTCTTTTTGCGGATAATATTGTGGATAAGACGAATGTTCCTTTGCCACGACTGCATTTGCAAATCTTTTACAGAAGTTCTACGAATAAAACTTGTTCAAAAGTTACGTTACTGAGATAAGATCGTTTGCAGCCATATTGTAAGTTTAATTTTCTGCGTTTGAAGTTTCTCTTTGATAAGTTCAGTCTACGTAGTCAAGATATAATATATGCTTATCAAGATTTGAAGGATTATTTTTTATTTTGTCTATTTTTCACTATGGGTAAAGAAGATATACCCTTTTTTAAATCTTCAAGCGATGTAATTATACATATGCGAAATGTCAATTAATTATGAATCTTCACAGTAACTGTGATATATCGTTAGTCTTACGAGTTTTTTGTTCCACCGATGAAGTATTTGCCAACCAATGAGACAGTATCTATTTTCTCTTGATATATTTTCTGATTGCTACGTTATTTTCTTTTACTTAAGAGCTTTGCTATTAAAAAGTCGAAAGTATGAAAGAATTTTCGTAGAAAAAGAAATATCAACGTAATGAAACTCAGCTGCAAAAGTCATATCTACTCACTATAGATTTTCGCACCTGCATTTGCGCGTTCGTACGTTGCAACGTACACGCGCACGTTCTTCTCTCTCCAGTGGGAGTGTAGAAAGGTGGGAGGCAGATATGCTGGCGGTGTGGGAAATCGCGACGAAGCGATAAGACGCGTCTACTCGTTCGCCGTTGGTCCTCTCTCGAGTTCTTTAGCAAAGCGTTTCCGGCTGCTCGCGTGTGGATTTCGGCGTGGTGCAAGTGTCGGCAATGCACACACGGTGGTACGTGAGCTCGACTATTTTCCT